CAGAGAGAGAAACATACAAATGCACAAGCACACACATATGCTTAGATCACACTGGTACTCACACAACAGCAGATCATGTTATCTGTACTTAGTTATATTACTATCTTCCTGGCTCTTTCTACATCAAAGGCATTTATGATCTATTTGGTGTCAAGCGATTCTAACAAGTCCTTTTATATGTACAAAAATGCCAGTGCATTTTAGCCTGTCTTAGTACATTGTTAATGGAAGTGTATTCTTTATCCTTTTTGTCGTTGAGAATGATATTTCTCGAGAGCATTTTCTTGACATGTGACAAGATACATCCTTAAAATTATCAATACGTTTGGGAAAGTATATTTCAGAGATTGGTTGCATATCATCTCCAGCATAATTTGTTCTTTGGATTCTGGTGGTTATTCAACAAATTGAACAATTTCTTCCTCTACACAATTATCCTGGTCCGTAGGATAGGTACTAATCAGCTTTTTGTAGCATTGTGAAGGTCCTCTTTAGACATGGACTCTACATTTCCTAAATACCCAAAATTGCAACTCACATTTTCATATGCTACTATCCTGTTGTCTAGTGCAATTGACAATTTTTCAATTATTATTATTATTATGTCTCGCATCCTGACAGTCGTTTACCCTTTTCCTTATATTCGGGTAATGAATCTTATAATCTCTGCATGAATGTCTTGAGAGATTTTAGCAGATGAAAGGTTGTACTGACATCCATTTGGGAGTTTCGTAATGAATGGCTTTCCTTGTTAAACCTATCCAGGATAACGTTCCATAATTATGTCATTATATCTGTTTCTAGTTGTTCCGATTGTAGCTTAAGGCTTCTTGACTCTAAATGCACTCGAGGCTTTCAGAGTCATCATCTGTAATGGAAGTGAGAACTTTTCTTATGGTTTTGTATCCATTTTAAGGCTCACATTGCATCTGAATGGGGGTTCCTTCTGTGTCTGATAATCTTATCGAAGGGGATCCCAGTTTTTGAAGCACTTTGTATATGTGCTTCCACAGATGGGTTGAAGCTTATAAAAACACATAAAGCTTCTGCACATAGGAAAATAATAAAAAAGTCTCAATACAGTAGTCCACAGTGCACTGTCCAACCAAATTAAGTGAATGAGTACAGGGGAGAACATAGTCTGCTACAGGTTTCTTCTCTTTGATCAAGGCTTGCATGCCAACATACTTGCTGCTCATATTGGATGCATTGTTGCAAGACTGCCCAGGCAACCTTGAATTCTTATATCATTCTTTTCAAGGCAATTAATGAGAACTCCAGCAAGTTCTGGTTCAGTATGATTACTTCTTGGTAAGAATGTGGCAAATCTCTCTACAGGGCCATCATCTGGAACGTATCTAAAGATTATAGATTATTTTCAGTTGACCAGTGTGAGATATGTCTGAAGTAGAATCAACAGACACTGAGTAATACTTGAATATTTTGATTTCTAGTGAAATGGCAGTGAGAACTTCTTTATGTAGAATTTCTATGAATTCGTCGCAAAGAGTTGAGGATAAGTATGAAACATGACCTTTTCCCTTATTTGCACATTTTGAATGTGTTGAGCAAGAAATGTATCATACTCAGCCAATAGCCCCAGTATTCCAAAGTAATTACCATTATGCACTGAACCAACTACTTCATAACTTCCTCTGAATGCTAGCTCTCTGAATGATAGAAACTTTATGATTAAGAAAATATACTCTAGAACTTCAGTGTTTTTTTCGATTTGTTCGCTTTTGGTTTTACAAATAACAAATTTGATGACACAACCTTGATAAAATGAGCTTGTTTCATGCCAACTAAAGTCCCTTGCAGCATGTTTCCAGTCAGAGTAATCAGTTGTTGCTAGCGAAGAAGTTTCCATTGCTGTTGAAAACAATTTGTTTATAATGTGGGAAAGGTTCTCTTTTGACGGTGAGTAGCAAAGATATTCTCTTTCTTCATTCCATTGCTCGAGTTAAAAATGATACTTTCAGCATTGGTTTTTAAACTTGTAACCCAAAATCGATTTTGTAGATGTACTGAAATCCGCATCTATGTACAGAAACTGCATGTCTGGCGCAAGCCACGAAGGAGGGGTCTGGCTTACAGCGTTTTGAAAAATGGAGTGAAGAGATTTTGATTCGCCAAGGCCTATCATTCGATCACTAGGTATAGCTTAGACATGGAATATTTTACATTGCAAATTGTGTGCAAATATGCTAAATCAGAGCTGGGCCACACCTAGTAATACTATTTAGAGGCATGCCAATCAAATCTCTTCGCTCTACATCACACGATAGGCCTAACCATGTCACACACAAACTCTCTCCATATATTTCTTTTTTCTCTCTCTCTCTCTCCAAAAATAAGTAAACTCGGTCGAATGATTTTGATTAAGCATTTTCTTTCAAAAAATGAAGATTTTATTTTTATAAATAACTTTACTTTAGCCCAGGCCTGGGGCTACAGCCCCAATAATCCATGTCTTAATTCGCCCCTGCATAAAGCAGATGATATCTAGAGTTTACGGCAACTTCTATGTTGAATGAGAATGATTAGCCATGTGGGTAGCATTAATGTTTATGGGGAATCCAAGTAAAAAACATTAGATTTAAACAATTTATACAGGGTCTTAAAGGAGTTGATTAACAAAAGGACATTACGATATAAGAAAATCAATTAATCAATTTTCGATTCAGTAATAGGTAACCATCCAGTGTACTACCATAAGTACGCACACTGTTTTTCATATTGAATAAATAAAAACTGTTTCATTTTGTGTTACATATCGTGCCCAGTATGTTTAGTTATTTACTTAAATTCAGTTAGTAGCTAAATTTAGACTTAATTTATAATTCAGCTTGCCAATCCTTCCATTGTGGTATCTGAATTTACTTCTTGTAAGTAATATTATAGTACTTATTTCGAATATATTACTTATTCTGTACATGTGCAGGTTTCACAAAACATGTATTCGAGAAAGCCATTAAGTAGATTTTGTTTTAGATATCTTTTTTAATTTGTTATTTTCGAGTGGATAATATCTGTTCAGCCCAGGAGAAGGGATATGAAAGGGATATGAACTGAAAGTTCGAGGAGGCTTGTGATATTTCTTGGGGTCCACTGGCAACGAGGGAGCTCAGAGTGGCAGAAAAAAAAATGTGTAAGGAATATCAAATGAGTGTGGAACGTGCAAATATTAAAACTGTGTTTTCAATACCTTATGAGTGTATGTTATATCATTCCAAAATATATTTATGTGTTTGGGACTTAATTCAGATTCTTCCCTGGGTCGCATAATGGTTCTCCAATGCTCTAGAAATACTATTTAAGGATATTCATGATGTTATAAAAACACGTAGGTTCAAGAAGTCTTGATAGAAATTAATAAAACCCTATAAAGGTGGACCTTTCTTCTTCAGGGGCAAACTGGGATGTTTAAGGATTTTGATATCAGTGTTCTTCAATCCTTGTTCAGGTGATATCTAAAGGTTAACTATAGCTTCACCTATGTTATAATGAGAATGCCCAGTTATGTGGTAGCCTTAGTTTCTCTAGAAAACGTGATATTTCTTGTGAACTAAAAAACATTGGATTTAGGCAGTACAGAACAGGATTTTGAGGAATGAACAGTTGAGGGAATCTAGTAAAAATATACACACCATGTTTGTATTAAGTGTTTTTATATAAATTGTGCATTTCGTTTTTGAATTTATATCCAGTCTCATTATTCCATTTAACATCACGAGACAGGTATTCAGAGATCCAACATTACTTCGTAATGAGTATCTTGACTGAATATCCAGATATTAAGCGGACATGCTTGATTGCTCATAGGTTAGCTTAGTTTTACTTATATATGGATATAGAATAGACATAACTAGCACTATTTTGAAGAAATCAGTTTAACTTGAGAATACCACAGAAATATTCTCATAATTCTTATAATGGCCTGATAGATTCTACAATGTTTGTTCTTTATGGTGCACCACATTCAGCAATTTTTTTCATAATATCCAGTTCAGCAAACGCTTCGAGAATTTGATTATTTGTGGGTCAGGTACAAGTTATCTATTGGGAAGTCTTGCTTGTTTCAGAAGTATTCATATTCTTACCCACTAACCTACAACAAAACAGCGCATATAGGTCCAGTTGTGTATGTATTGATGCTATACCAAAGTTATCCCCCTTCCACTAAATATTATTTTCGGACAGATAAACTTAGTCATGTATATTTTAATCCTGTTTCTAGATTATTTGCTTTGTGAAACCATTATGTCTTTATCTTCTCTTATGAATGACCCCCCTCTTCTTCTTATGTTTCCATGTGTTAAGTTGGACGTGTTCCTCAGATTGCTCACAAATCTTTAAATTAGGCAAAAATTTAATTGGGAATAAAAAAGTATGGACGACGTCATCATATGTATAACGTTATGGTAGGTGTACATACTACTATGGATTGCAAAGGGAAGGTATTTGGGGAATGAATCTGTCGTCCATCAGAGCCCCATTTCATACAGCATTGTTTTGTGTGTGAATTTCTTTATTTGCTTATAGATCCTTAGAGTACCGGTACCGTTATCCTGTTTAATTTTAATTATTGTCTTAGATACCCAGGTTTTGAAAGCATCGTTAGATCTGGCGTCTCTTACTAGATAAGTCGGCTCCAAGTGTCTTTTGTATTAGACGTGTTTCATGGGTATTACGTGTTGTGGAATATGTTTAACCCACTTAAGTTTAACCTTGCAGCCATCGAGACGTCCCACACGATCGTCAGATTCGTTCAGAATTCTACGCACTTGACCTTTTATGTGAGTAGTTTAGGCAGGTCACTTATCTGTTTTAATTACTTTAAATATACAGCACGCACTTCATTTACATTTTATAAACTTTCAGCATTCAACTACAAAATACCACAACAACAACAACAACAAAAAAAAAAAAAAAGCACGCAAAGCACGAGTTTTCCCCTTAGTTTGGTATTAATATGTACTAATAATAATATTAACATTATTATTTCATCATCTCCTTGTGAGGACGACATATCTGATTTGTTACTTAGAGATGTCGCTCAAAATGCCGGGAAGATATCTGTCGGAAGAGCAATTGACGGGATTTGGTCGTTATAAAGTAAGTATTTCTTACTTTTATATTAAATCTGTACTTACGTATCGGCTTACCACTATCTTTGAAAGATGTATTTAGAGTGCGTAGCTACTAGGATTTATTAATTATTTTTTATTAACGAGTTAGTTATGTCTAGGTGACGAGTGATAGGATTACTAATACTAGTACATATTGGTGGTACTGCCTACTGGTAGTGGTACAGTACTACTCGAGATTATAAACGGTAAATGTACTGTTGAATGTAGTAGTACTTTAGATTTCTAAATTGTTACTTATACGATTTAAAAAACACTAAGCTTTATAATTAATCAAGCATAATAGTACTAACATGTTTAGATAATGCAATTTTTTACACTGGAAATAGTACTAGTAGAATATTTACAGATTATCAAATTAAGAGTTTGCTTATTTTTCTTATTAAAATACATAAAACATATTTCTTATTTGTGTATTGAATTTTTAAATTAACGTGATTTTTCTTAAGAATTTGGTTATAGATGTCTTTCTTACAATATAACGTGTGTTTGTGTAATAATAACTAATATTACAATTTACAGATCAAAAAATTGGAAAGCTTAGGATGGTTTAATTTTTTAAATAATTATACTAGTTAGTAGAGGTGTTATCTGTAGTATTTGAACTACCATATTTTTAAAATACACGAATGACAAATTTAGTTTTTAATTCCAAGTTGAATGTATGAGGGCTAAAGTAATTATAGTGCTGTTATGCTCTGACAGCAATACATAAGTAATATTACACATTAAAACATTACCTTTTGATACAAGTTCATTTTTTAACTCTCTTAGCTTACTGCTAATGACAGAGCACTATCTCAGTGGCATATCTGTCATTATGCCAAAAATCCTTCTTCTTTTTTTTTTTTTTTCATTCAAATGACTGACTGGGCTCCCATCTATATTAAGTGGAATTCAAATTATGATATTCAAATAAATTACCTTGCACTTATTATAAATAATTAAAGATTATTTGCTAAACATCGATCCAAGTTATGATCAATTCATCCAAGTCATTCTTTAATACCTCAACATTTTCTATACAACTAGAAGTAAGCAAGTGTTTAATGCCATCAACAAACTTTGCTAATTTACTAATTATGTCCTTACTGACTTCTGAGGGGCTCTCTAGCCATGCGATATAGAAAACCATCATGAATCACTTCAAGAAAACTCATTCGACTCCATACCATCCCAATCAATGTATAAAATTAAAGTATTTCCTTATTATTGTATCAGTGTTATTGTTTTTAATAATCCTTATCTCATTATACAATTTCTCATTGACATTATCTGTCAAATCAGGTGAACTATAACAATTATCAGTTAAACATTTTCTGTTCTCATAATCCCTGATTATAACATTTATTGATTCGTCATTTTAAATACCACTTTTTGCTTTCATTCCAAAGAGGATGCAGTTCATTTATTATATAAAAAGGTACTACATCTGACAAATACCATTATTATATGACTTATAACATGGAATTTCAGAATAAAACCTATTATCAATGTTCTCTATCCTAATCAAGTTTCATTAATTCCCATTATAACATAATATTCCATATTATCTAGAGCTTGAACTAATTGATCTTGTTTCTGATACTTCCAACATTAGAATAATAGCAACTAAGTTTATTCTTAAATCTAGTATGTTTATTTTAAAATATGACCAATTATTTAACGTAAGCTTTACATCTTCTATTTTTTTTCTTCCAATCTCCTAATTGGCCTAGATGTCCTATTTACTTTTTTATTCCCACTTTCCCAAGACTTATCGTCATCTTGCCAATTTAGTTTAAATCATCTTCAGTGAATATTTTAAGAGCTACAAACATCACACTATGTAGTTTGTTTAAGTGGAGCCCATCTCTAGCATATAACTTGCACATAGCTTCAAAACTGTTTCTGAACTCCAACCAGTCTTGGATCCTGCTAAGTAATTTATCCCCAATTTAACCCAAGTGATCATTCCCAATCTATGAAGGAACTATTTATACTTTTTATGCAGGTCTTCTGATTTCTACTTTCCATTATCATTCACTACTACGTACAATGTAAAAACAGAATGCAGTTAAACTGTCAACACTCTTTAATGTCCTGTACTTTAGCACCTGGCAAACAAAGTGTAGTCCTAGTTTTTCTGTACTTCCCACTACAAATAACTTTATCAATATTCTTAATGAGAAAGTTCTGTACTATGTCAACTCTTGCTCATCTCATTCCTTATTACAAGCAACCAAAGGTTCAAATCTGTTAAAAACTGGTACCTGAATACTAACTAAACCTGCCTATATAACCCTAACATATTTTCTGCTATATACCATTATAAACCGAGCAGTATTTATCCTAAATGTCCATTTCCTGTCTTGCTTCTTTAATTTATTTTCATTTTTCTTCACTGTTTGACTCCATACAGTTTAAATCACCCTTAATTATAAGAGAAAAAAACATAGGTTAATCACATTAATATTAAGTGAATAGACTTATTATAAGAAAAGTGTGAAAGTTGAAATTATTTTGTAATTTATAGGAAAAATTAAAATAATTTGTGACCTTTTACTTTTATGATGGTAACTTTACATTATCTTTTAACAAAAACTGAAACCTCTTAGTTTTGGGAAGAAAAACTTGGGGCATTATCCAGTGCTTACGATTTGAAAATTCCAAAAGAGTTATGAATTACTCTCCTGAACTTTGCCAGGAGAGTGATAGGATACTTTGTCAATGAAGAGTATAGGATGACATCAGGAATAATACTTATTACTAGATTGCAGGATTTTATCAAACTTAAATTAACATATCCATTGTTTTGAAGAATGCAATGGATCACACACCAAAACTCAAAATAAGAAGCATGATGGAGCACAAGCACCATCAGACACCTCAAAATCAAAGGTTTGATTAAGTTATATTTCATTTTCAGAGCTAATTATTTAATAATTTTATTCCAGGTAGGTAAAATATTTAAAAATGTTTTCTTTGAAGTTGAGGAATAATTCAGAACATTGTTGGGTTTTAGATAAACTGTATAGTGTAACAAAATGATTGATAATTTGAATCTGATATTTTATTGTGTGTTTTTATTTGTAAATAAAAAAGTGAAGACATTTGTACTCGGATAACGAATACCAGGTTAATTAATATTTATAGGATGAATACAGTTTACTAGAAAAACAGCAAAAAAATCTTTATTAAATTGATGCAGGCTCGCAACATGTATGTTGGCATTGTAAGAAACAAGAAGGTTTCAATGATTCAAGCTTTTTTTAGTAATCTTTTTCTGTTAGACTTATGCTAATTGAGTTTTTCATACTTTTTAGCTAGTATAACTATTATTGGTTTAATAATTTTATAATTCTGTAATTACAATGTATCCTAATTGACATTTTTTTACTTTAAACAAGTCATGTAGTAATTGGTAAGAAGTTAAATGTAGTAAAATTATACATGTTTTTAACTTGAACTTTGTTACTCTGTTTAATATTTATTGACCTTTGGCATTGATAGCACTGCTATCTGTAATGTGTCAGCACCACTTCAAACAAGCAGTTTTGTTAATGCTTTGCCCTAAGGTGACCTAAATGCAAGAAATTTTCCATCCTAACATAAAATGTCAATAACTGCATGTCTTTCACAACATTAAAAATGAAGTTCAGAGTTGGAAAAAGCTTTTCTAATACTGAAAAGATAGTTTATAAAAAATGTCAGTAAATCTGTATAACACAGTCTTTTGTTGTTTTTTCCTTCATAAAAGTTAATATTTCTAAAAATAATAAGAAAGATAAATTTTATTTAGATGAATCTAGAAGAAAAACACAGATATTTAATTCTAAACTACCATGTGACCTTTATACTATAAGGTCTGGTTATGTAATGAGTTAATTATGCCTAGATTGCATTGTGTTAATTGCACATTTAACTTATTTTGATATAGCTTGTTGCTTTTTATTATGATTTTTGTATTTAACACTTATTGACAAGCAATAAAAAGGTTCACTTCATTTTATACTAAATTTGTCAAATGTTAAAGTTAAAAACAGGGTCACCATGGTGAAACAAAACAACACGATTAAATTTTCAAATGTTTCAGAATTTACACATTCCATCATCAGTGATCTAAAATGTTTACATATAATATACATATGTAGTATATACATACGTACATATATGCATAAACAACAAACAGTGCAAGTTTTAATATGAAGAAAATCTATACAAAATGTACAGAAGGGAAGAAATAAGTAAATTTTACAAAAGGTAAGAATACAATTTAATGAAGTGAATATATCAAAACAAGGAAAGATAAATTAACTGAGGTTATTATTTAATCTTGGATGTTCAGATGAGATGCACAGACTATTTGATCAGAAGCTCATAGTTTGAAGTTATCTGTAAGTAAAGGGTGTTTACTAATTTGACAGTGTGTGTGTGTGTGTGTGCAAATAAAAGAAGCACATGGATTTAGGGGTAGTTCATATTAATGTATCTTAATTGGTCTTTTATTTTGCCAAGAAAGGTGACTTTACAGTTACCATAAAGGTATTTGTAGATGACATATGAACTTTTGTACAATTTTCTTTCTTCTTCCCCTTTGTATATTTTGTATGTATTTTTTCTCCATATTGAAACTTGTAGTAGTATATGTTTGTGTGTGTGTGTGTGTGTGAGTGAGTATATACTATATATGTTCTTTAGAAAACGTTTTAGATCACTGTTGATGGAATGTGTAAATTCTGAAACATTTGAAGAATAAATGTTTTGTTTTATTGTGAATCTATTATTGAAGTTGTTTATAAACACAATAGTGTAAAATTCTGCCATCCACAATAGAAAAAAAACACCTTCCACAAATTTGCTTTCCAACAAAAAAGCACAAAACTAAATGGATAAGCAGAAGAATTAAGTTATTAATAAATGTAAGAATCGAAGCATATAGGAGCATTAAACATACTAGAAAAATGTGGTGATTTTACTTTGTATGGT